TCTCAGGCCCTATTGGAGAAGGAGACTCTATTAGGGCTGAGATCCTTGCAGCTTTGGAAGGGGTTCAAAGAGCAAGGGAACTAAATATCAGTCGGCTGATTTTGGAAGCTGATTCAAAGGTGGTGATTAGCTGGTTGAAGAAAGAGGACAGTGGCTTGTGGAGTTACACTAATGAAAAGAAAAAAATCTTATGGCTATGTAAGGGCATTGAGATACAATACAGCTGGGTGAAAAGGACTGCTAATTCTTTTGCAGATGGGTTGGCCAAGCAAGGGGTGAATAGGGAAGCTATTTTTTGGGCTAATTTTTAATCTTCTTTCATTGTAATTTACTGATGGGGAGATAAGACTCTTTATCTCCCCCTTATTATACCTAAAGTTTCATAAATCTTAATAAAGTTTCTGTTATTGATCCAAAAAAAAAGAAGAAGAAGAAGGGGGCGAGAGAAACCCCTATTTGGTATAAAAAGTGAAGAGACAATAAGACAATGAAAAAAAAGATCTGCAATTCTAGGCACCCTCTCTCTCTATTTCCTTCCTCTGTCTCTTTCCCTCTCTCTTTCCTTCCACCGCCACCTCTCTCTTCACTTCAGTCAGATCTCAATCTCTTTCCCTCTCCGCTCCTCTCTCCCTCGATAATATCCCTTCCACTGCCACCTCTCTCTTCAGTCAATTGTTAGTCGACGTCAGAGATACACACAGAGATAGAGATAGATAGACAAAGAGGGAGATATAGCGAGAGCATTTCTTTTCGAGTTGTCCATCGAACTCAACTCGGCCTCTGTCCTTTATCCATCGGGCTCTATCCAACGGATCATCGAGCTCAAGCAATATGCCTTTGTTCATCGGTCAAACGGATCTGGCAACCTAGTTGTCCATCGGGTTCAACTCGGCCTCTGTCCTTTGTCCATCGGGCTCAGGCAACCTGCCCTTGTTCGTTGGACATCGGACTCTGCCTTTGTCTTTGTCCAACCTAACAACATGGCTCCAGGTTTTATCCAACGGGCTTTGTCCAGATGACCAACCTTACGCATGAAGCTCGCACATTTTTCACCTCCAATGGCTTTCACCAATCGGGTCATTTACACACATGTAGATGCTTTTTCCCATCTCCACAAGCGGCCACGTCTCCTCTCCTTATGCCCCCTTGTGCTTTAAGTGTATATATATGATTTTGCTAGCATGTTCTTCTGCCAAGAAGAGCAACACCTAATTTCATACCCACCTCTACTTCTTTGCCAACCAATTTGTTTAGATCCCCTTCAAGTTCCACCCAAAATGCCCCTCTATTTCATACCCACCTCTCCTTATGCCCCCTTGTGCTTTAAGTGTATATATATGATTTTGCTAGCATGTTCTTCTGCCAAGAAGTGCAACACCTAATTTCATACCCACCTCTACTTCTTTGCCAACCAATTTGTTTAGATCCCCTTCAAGTTCCACCCAAAATGCCCCTCTATTTCTTTTCCCCATTGGACTATACACATTTGATTCCAACAGTCTACCCTTTGTTTCCAAATGATCCAGCACTACTAACACCAAATGTAAACCCTTAAAAACTCACATTTTTTACCAAACTTTAGAATCCCAAATCACTAACAAATCCCTAGAAAGACCATCCGCCTCACACTTAACCCATCCACAATTATGTGTGTCCGGATTTCCTACTATCCCCATTCTGCTGCCCTTCCTACTAACTCAATGACTTCGTGACAGTTCCATCTTCGTGTGACCACATTATTATGTGCAATAATTTCCACGTGAGACATCTCCCCCTCCCCCTTCTAGCGCTCAACACCTGGAGAAGAAGAAGTTCTTGCTTTTGTTGGATGACTAATGGGAGGAAGTTGATTTGACAAAAGTTGGAGTCCCTGACCCAAGCACGAAGAATGGGTGTAAGATAGTATTGATGAAAGTTTGTAACCAGATGGGCATAGATGAGAAGATCAAGGTTGAAACTTTATCGAAAGATGTAGCATGGGAGCTGTTTCATCAAAAGGTAGGAGCTGATGTTTTGACTGATTCTGAAATAGAAAAAGTAGCTCGCAAGGTGGTTAAGGAATGCCATGGTTTGCCACTCGTGATTCTTGTCATCGGAGGGTCCTTGAAGAATGCGTTTGATGTTGGTGACTGGGAGTTCACCCAGGCGGAGTTAGCTTTGAATGGCACTGTTGCAGATATGGAAGAATCGCTGTGCAAGATTTTGAACTGGTAAATCTCCAAGTCCTAAACCTGTCGAACACTAAAATTGAAGAGCTGCCATCGCTTTTCTCCCATCACGAAGTTTCCACTTTTTCAACCTGGTAAGCCTTCGAAGATTATATCTACACCTGACTGGCATAAGGTCTCTACCATCCCAGATAGGACTTCTCAAGGAACTTGAAGTGCTTCATGTTGGTGAATTGATGGACGATTTGCCTACTGAGATTGGGCAGCTGAGTCCTCTTAGGAGTCTGAGTGTGTCATTCGGTCTTCCCAAAGGTGAAGAGACGGCATCGACCCCCAGCTGTTGGGGAATCTATAAAGCCCTCTCGCCTATGATCTTGTTACCTACAAAGCCCAAAGGTCAAAGGATGACTCCCAGTGGCTTGTTATCAAATCTGTCTGGGCTGGAACACTTGATAATACATATGCAGGAAGTAGGAAGAGGGATTAATGGACCTCAGATGAATAAGAGCTGTGGCCAAGGAGCTGACCAGCTTCAAAAAAGTTTAAAAACTCTAGCATTTAACTTCCCGGATATGAAATCTTTCAAGCATTTCGTCGAACGGAATCCTGTGTGAAGGGATAACTGTGGTGAGCACTAGAAGGGGGGAGGAGGAGATGTCTCGTGTGGAAATTGTTGTACGTAATAATGTGATCACACGAAGATGGGACAACTGTCATCAAGTCATTGAGTTAGTAGGAAGGGCAGCAAAATGGGGTTAGTAGGAAATCCGGGCTGCAACTATGTGACCCCCATAACTCTAAAATGTAAGCCACCTCTATTTTTTCCCACTTTTGTTTTATAAGAGTAAAAGATCCACCCTATTCTCCCTCACCAAATTTCTCACAACTTCTCCTAAAGTCCCCCAACCCCCTCATATTCCAAGAAAAAGCCCTCAACATAGTATTTATCCTGAAGTCCCATGGTAATATATGACTCTCTCAGTCTCTCTCTCTCTCCTCTTTTCCCATATATTCTTTCTCCATTCTTGTAATCTATTATTCATACTAATACATAAACTAGTTTCTACCGTATTTTCTTTATCATGCTTATTGCCTGAATCCTGTTTTTTTATCTGGAAAATCTAATACAAGTTGTTTATTTACTGTTCAGTACAATAGAATGCACATTCCTTGATGAGCCAGTATCCTACCACCCCCACATACACATCAGTAAATTACTTCCTTTCAACAAAGTGTATAGTTAGCCCACAACAGAGACTGTCTGCTAGCTCCTTCCTGAGCAATGGAGTCAACTATGGAGCTTGTAGACCTAGGCAGCCAACTTAGCTTGGCCTGTAAGACCACGACCATAGATTTAATTTCTCTAATCCGGTTCCCAAGCCTCCATGGACCCTCCACAAGGCCTTGAAGCCATGCAATATTACTTCCAGGGTTCCCTTCAATAATCAATTCCCTGAATTCCAAGGATTTTGCCAACCTTAGACCTGGAAGTAATGCCATCAGTTCTGCTCTGGTGGAGTAACCATAGCCAACAGGTCCAGAAAAAAAAAAAAAGCCTTTAAGATATAGCCATTATTCTTTTTTTTTTGGGGAGCAAAAGGTAAGTTGATGTATTCATTCGAATCATGTCACTCTGTCCAAGTATATCCATGTTCAGTGAGTCACTATACAGAAAGCATATGTCAATTACAGCCACCCTGCTAAAGTCAAAATAATTATGATGGGAAACATTGCTAAAATGATCCATGGCTGTCATCCAACAATGAAAGGTACCCATGATCTTCTTAATTAGCTCATCAAGTGAACAGCTTTAAGATATAGCCATTATGGTTTGTAAACATACTTCCAATGCCAGACAGCACTGGGTTTCCAAAGCTGCAGCCATCAAAATTCATTTTAATCTTGTCAAGTTGTCATGTGGAGGACCTATCCAAGGAGAGACTTGAATATTCCACTGCATAGGGGTAGATGCCACCATTTCCCATCCTTTAAGAATGTTACCAGTTGAAAACATTGATGATTCTTGTCTTATTATTGCCAGAATTATGTTTCTAATCATATAAAAAAAACAATCACATTTGTACTTTTTTTATGTTTTAATTGTCAATCACATTTCTTCTTCTAACCCTAGTTTTCTACTATGGAAAATGACCAATTATCACCTATCAACATATATAGCCTGCCATTCTGTGCTTTAACCCTTCAGCCAGCATATCCCCTGTTCCCCACAATCCCATCCCTTTCCTTAAGCCATTTCTTGACAGTGCATACATCCTGCATAGGGGTAGATTCCATCAATCCATTAAACCCTCATTTGTTTATCCTGAAAGTCCACTGCTAATCCTACATCAGACTTGTATTCTAGTATTACTTGGCCAATATTCATATATTGGCTACTGCTATCAAAACTTCAAAAGCACAAGAACACCAACAAACTTCATTTCAGTAAACAATTAATGATAAGCAAAAAATGAGGATGCATCCTGGTCAGTTCTGTCCTATGTAAAGAATCATATGGTATACCTCTGCCACCTTCTCTGTCTCCTCAATAAGAGCAGTCCAAGCATTGAAGTCTAAAGAATTTGTTCTAACAATGCTCCACAACCGTTCTTCTTCAGTAGAAAGTGCTGACAATGAGATATCAGAAACAAAAAGATCAAAAAGACATGATAATGGTTTGCAAGTTAAACCTTCAATAGAATTATTGTGAATGCTATGCAACATTATGGAACAAATAAACAGACAGTTGAGAATAAAGAGATTTTCAGCAGTCAAATATAAATGATGGAAATAGAATAGAAGATTATTTCAAGATAATAATAGACTCTCTAATAACTAATAATCATGGTGTAAAGAGATTCTAAGAGTTATTTGAGATCATAGTTGTCAAGGTGACAAGGTACCCTAGGCTTGCCTCGCCTAATTACCAAGCCGTTTTGTACTTTCTATTATAAAATACTTTTTTATTATTTATCTTTTGAGATTATAATTATAAAATATACATTATTAAAAATATATGCATTTTGTGTGTTTAAATACTAATTTCTTTTTATTATTTTCTTATTTGTTAGGGTTTAATCAACACAAGCATTGCTAAATGCTGTATTGAACCCTCAAAGACATCAAAACCTGAACCAATAAGTAAGATAGAACTTAAATTTTTGTCTAATCAACACATTGTCTTCTTCCATATCTTATTTTCTTCTACTTTTTCTTTTCTTCTTTTCCTATAACAGAAATAAGGGTTCAGCCCCTATATTTTTTCAATTTTCTTTTCTTTCTTCTTTTTCTTCTCATGAATATGTTGATTTTCTATACTTTAACATGAACTTTATACTTTTCTTATGAAAATTATGAATAATTGTTAAGGAAATATGATTATGTAGGGAACTACCCTAGGATCTATGTTTTTTACTTAAAAAATCCATCACCTAGGTGATTAGGTGACAAGGCGCCCCCTGTCACCTAGCCTCGCCTTGGCACCTTGAAAACTATGTTAGAGATCTTATAAGGTAAATTTTTATTGTTTTATTAGTTATAAGTAATAGTTTATTTTATTTCATGGCTTCTTTTGTACAAACATAACATTTTTCCTTTGCACCTTTTATTAGTAAGAGTCCTACTAACTTAGGATTTGGTGATGGACTTTGTTGGGTGAATGAGGGATGTGGGTGATTAGAGATGAAAATAGATGGAAAAGCAAGAAGAGTTCTTGTTGTGCACCAAAGAATGAGTAAGAAATTAAAAGCAAGGTGTAAACCAGCTGGTTGGTAAGGTCTCCTGCTGGTCATAGCGGAGACTTGGGATTGCATCCTACCTGCACCTGGGTTGGGGGATTATGGGTTGGGGGATGGGCTACCCCCCGTTGTGTAGCCCTTCAAAAGAAATCGGGGGGGGGNGGGGGGGGGAAAAGAGTAAGACATTAGGAGAGAGGTGAACTCTTGCTGTTAGGATAAACAGCAAATAGACAGATCGCCTTAAAGAAGAAATAAGAGAGAGGAGAGAAAAAAAAAAAAAGAGAGAGAAATTTTTCTAACAACCAGAATTCAAACCATCTTTGTTTTCTTTGTTTTATCAAATCAACTCTCCTTGAACTCCAATTACAATGACTCTATTTATAGACTCAACTTACTAACTCGGATGTCCCATTTCAGACTCTAATTTGGACTAGGAAATTGACCCAAAACAACTTCTAATTGCCTTAGAACTAAGATAAATCAATAGATGACTAAAAAAGACTCTCCAATGAGGACCCTAATTGCAAAGACAACTCTAATAACATTTACCTAATCCCACTAAAACTAAATTAAGTTAAAAAATCAGAAATTACTAAAAATAGTAAACCATGAGTTTACTAAAAATAATAATTACGAGAATTACCATAAATAGCACATCCGAGAATTACTATAAATAATAATTTTGAAACAGTAACAAACCAAAATATTTATAAAAATCCCTATAACCCAAAAATTCTGAAATTGGTACGGGAATTGAAAAACCGCCAACACTTGCCCATAATCGCCATAAAGTTCATTTCTAATTATTAGATAGCAATATAGCATAAAGATCATTAATCCTGGATGGGGCACCATGAAGACAACTTCTATTAATTGCCCATATGCCCCATAATTAACTTTCTTAGTAGGGTAATCCCATCATGAATCCATAAATGCTCAAGTTGTAGCCATTCTAGACAAAATCATGGTGTCAACCTGGGAAAAGAAATTAGGTTTAGAAGTTTATGAAGCATTGTGTGAAGAAACAGAAAAAAAGCAAATAACAAATAGAGTTTCCCTTGATCGCTTTCCAAACTTTATGGCACACAGAATGCAAGGCCACCAATAAACAGTTATACTAAACTTCCACATATAACATGCTAGAAGTAACAAGCACAATGAAATTTTTTTTTCTTTTTTGGAAAGAACCACGACAGTGAATATTGAGAGAACCACATTAGTGAACTAGGTCTACATGACAATTACAAATAAATACCTATCTTTAAAATGAAATATATTCTAACCTTCAAGAAGTCAAAACATATACAATAACTTGTTACTTTACAGCCAAACATATCAGACCTGCAGCCATGGTTGCAATTTTAACCATATAGAAAATATAACTGCAGAAAGTTTAATCCGTGCAAATACACCGCCGTCACCCCAAAAACTTTGCAACCAATGCTTTAATAACTATCGATCAGAGAATTACAAAAAACCAATGCTTCAAAAACATGGAGGCATGACGCAATGCAACAAGACCTTTAGATGTGAGGACTAAGCCTCCTGTGTCATCTATTTTTAAGAAAAGCATCAAAGTAGAAGAGGATTATGTTTCTATGCAGGAAAAGCATAAAAATGGTTGTAGGAAAAGCATAAACAAAGTGATTGTGGATATTACTTTAAACATGTATAAACACAAGGAAGGCATATAAAAATGTTAAACAAATAAATAACATCAAAATATGACTTTAAACATGCAAGTTTAGGTATAAGCATGAAGCAAATAAATACATATAGAAACACACTTAAGACATCTCAAGGTGTCAGCACCAATGGATGAGCTTCATGACTTCTGCATGAGCCCAAGGTTGACACTGGAGGTATTTCCCCTAAAGCTCACCAAGGTGAGCTTCCAAAGCATTGCTGATTTTAAAGATACTACTCCTAACAAGTCAGATGCAATTCTTAAAAATCTTCCCATGGCACATCCATCTAATGCCAATCCTTTTGTCAGTTAGTATGCAATATCTAATTTTTTTATCACAAAGATATTTAGAAATCTTATAATATACCAGAATCCTCCTTGAACTGTTGATCAGAAGCAGCTCCACCAAACTCATTTGAAACATTCCCATTTTCACCAGTTCCAGCAGAAGCATGATATCCTGCACCAGTAGCACCATTGATATTTACAGAGGAACCCATAGGAACAGCTTGATTTGATTTTTCTTCTGCACTTTCCTGGATGACAAGATTCTTGGTAGTATCAGGGACTTCAACAGCTCCATAAGCTACTGAGACAGAAGTACCTTGAATAACAGAACCAGTATCTTTGTTGTTTGGATTTTCATGACCTGAACCAGAACCATCTGGCTCAGGATTAGCCGTATCTGTTGGAATGACAGGAGTAGTTGAATCGGCAGCACCCCCAGTGGCAAAAGCACCACCATCAGAAATGGCATTTGAACCAGAGCCAGTGTAGTCAGTCGAAGCATAGCTTGGGTAATCCATTGTAGCTGGGATTTGGGCAACAATAGTTTCATAACCCATTTTAAGTCAGTAAACGTGTCCCTTGAATGTACAAGCTGCCAGGTTATAAACAAAAACACAACACTCAATACTATCAAAACGAATAAATGCTAAAGCTAATGATATAACGATCAGAAGTTTCAGTGTCCTCTCTACAAAATTTATAACTTGATCTGCAAAGCCCTCCAAATCATAACCCCGAGAGTCAATCTAAGTGACATTAAGTGTTAATTCTATCCAACTGTCTTTTAACCCCCAAAATAACAAAGCGAATACAGAACAGATTATTATCATAACAATGGTTACAACTCTAATTGAACCATTCGGTAACGGTACATTAGGAGGCTCCTAGGGTAGACGACTAGGGGCCCAACTACCAGACAAAGAAAACAAGTAGCCACATCGTACTAAAATTTCAAAAATGGATTACAGAAGATGTAATTTCTCTATGAAAAAATATCTACTCAGACCCAACTGGAGTAAAATAATAAAACGCCTGATCCTTCACCGTATGGACTAATAGAATTTCAAAGAAGTAACTGATAAAATGATAGAGCTTCACCCAAAACCCTATGATATCAAATTAAGAGGGGAAAAAGGAATAACTAGGACTACGGAAACAAAACCCTGGTCTAAACTATCGGGAAAAGCAAGAAAAAACCTAGAAACAGCAGCTTGAACTGAAAAACGAGAACTGCAATTCCTTCCAGTGAATTTAAGTAACGAAACAAAAAAAAGGGGAGAGAATGAAAGTAAGAGTGCCATTGATGAATCCTCACCTTTTTCTTGTGCGTCAAAGCGAGAGAGAAGAGCCGAAGTGGCGAACAGTGGAGGACGAGACGTTAACAATTTTGGCTCCTCGCAACGATGGTTTTGATTTGAGAAACTCTCGCCTTTTTGCAGCTTTAGGCCGCGCGGTTCGTCGTTACTTATTTTTGGGTAAATTACATAGACCCCCCTGTACTATGGGGTCTGTGACAAAGACCCCTTACATTGTCTTGAGACAAAGACCCTGTACTATGGCCGTGAGTAGACCTGTTCATGGGCCGGGTGGCCCGACGGACCGACCCAGCCCCCGTACGGACTTGAACAGGTGTATGGGCCCGTGGGCTTAACCTCAGGCCAAAAATCTCAACCCGCAATAAATTTGAGCCGAACTCGGGATTTGCTAAAATAGCCCAACCCGAATCCGGCCCGACCTGACCTATAATTAAACCTAAAAACCCTAGTCGAATACCCCTCTTTTTTTCACCTCTTTCCCTTATTTTTCCAGCCGAACCCTTCTTCTCCACATCATCTTTCCCTTCTTTATATTCTTTTTTTAATGTAAATAAATTTTAAATTTATATTCTTTTTTAATATAAATAAATTCTTATTTATATTAATTATTGAATAGGGCAAAATTCTAATTTTTTTTATTAGGTCGGGCTTCGGGCTTTTTATCAAGGCCGGGCTCGGGCCCAAGTAGTAGGCTCGTTGGTCGGGCCGGGCTCGAACTCGGGCCTAACATATTTCCTTTGGTGAAGAGTAAAAGCCCGAGCCCGGCCCAGCCCGGCCCATGAATAGATCTAGCCGTGAGACAAGACCCCCTTCCGTTAATTATCCATCAAAAAAGATTTTAATTCTGCCGTTGCCACAAATTTTAATTTCCACACTGCCCCTGTGATAACTATTCGTACATTGTTTTGTGACAAAGACCCCTATACTATGGCCATGAGACAAGACCCCCTTCCGTTAGTCATCCATCCAAAAAGATTTTAATTCTGTCGTTGCAACAAATTTTAATTTCCACACTGCCCCTGTGATAACTATTCTAACAATTTTACCCCTCTTCATTTTTATACGTTGCCTTAACCTTTCTTTATTTCTCCCGTGTAAACAAGTTTCAGTGGCAAGAGATTTCTCCCTTGCGATCAGATTTCAGTGGCAAGGGGTTTCTCAGTGATTACCTGGGCAGAGGACAGGCGAAGGTGGGTTTATCCTTGACGCAACATTTCATACAGGAACTTGTCCTACTTCGGTGAGTGATCATTTACCTGGTAGGGTTTATTAGTTTTTCACTTAATCTATTAGGATAGATGCGACCTCCAATATTCACTGTGTTTATGTTAATGAACTAAATACATTGGTATTGACATAAATATTAGATGTGGTAACCATTTAGTGATTCATAGTGTTATGGTTTAATCCCTTTTTTGTGTTTTCAATTTTTTGTAAATTAGTCTTCTTGGAAGGAATTTAATGTCCATGAAGGAGCACAAGTTATGTGCAATTGATTTTAGGCCGTGTAGGTACATAGTGGTCGCTCAGACCATTAGGGCACAGAAGATGTTGAATTAATACCACACAGATGCTTGTGATGAGTTCACAAATCATCGAACGTCTACGATGAGTTCATAACTCATCGCATGATTGCAACGAACTCATGCCTGAAATGAGTCGCAATAAACTTTGGCCTGGGTAAAATTGCGATGAGTTTTAAACATGCGTAGACTTGCGAGAAGTCTCAGACATGTGCGGACCCGCGATGAGTTTTGGATGCACACAAACCTACAATGAGTTAGAAGCCATAATAGGGTCATGACAAACGTGGAATTACTGTACAACCGGGAATAAATATTTGATACACACACATCTTTAAATTATGTGTGTGACGGGAAGCCCCGCGGGCCTAGTAAAGGCAAGCAATGCAAATAATGACATCATTCGCGCCATGTCTGTATAATCCTTAAGGGAAATTAAACCTTGTATTTGAAGAATCTCGTTGGACACATGACGAAACCCCAATAATGCTCCCTTAATAGTCAAACATAAAACAAATATCTCATTTCCTAACATGAAAAGTCTCCTTTTAAGTCCTTTTCCTTATAGCCTAGGCATTCTCTCTATAAAAAGGGGAATAACTCTTCCCCAAGGGAGATGAAGACATACAATCTCGACCTAGGGCTTCCCAGAAGAGGACCCTCCCTTCTCTCATATCTTCCTCTCTCTTCCCCGTCACTTTCTCTAGACTTTTGGAGACTCGACCACCCGTCAATAAGAGCACCACCTTATCAATAAGTTGATTAATGTTCATGAAGTTAACTGAACTTTATTGAAGTATGTTGTTCATGGAGGACGTTTTATTTTCTGTTTAATGAAGTGATTAATGTTAATCTTCGTGAAGTTTTATCCTTTAATGTTTAATCAAGATTAATGTTAAGGGAGTTCATTGTTCAGGAATTGTAAATTAATTCTCATCAAGTAAAATGAAGTTTACTGTTCATGAAAGAAATTCTTTAGATTAATATTGATAAAGTTTTATTTTCTATTTAATGAAGTTTTCTCCTTTAATTTTGAATGAAGATTAATGTTAAGGGAGCTCATTGTTCAATAACTGTAGATTAATTCTCATTAAATAAAATGAAAGAAATTCTTTAGATTAATCTTCATGAAGTTTTATTATACAAATGTGTGAACACTCAACATTCACTTTGCAATCACTAAGCAATCCGAGGTTTGAGACAAAGTTTTGTGATTGTCAGAAGAAGTGTGCCATTAGGGTTTCTGAGATAGATTTGAACCCACAAAAGTTGTTTTATACATGCCCTCGCAAAATTGTAAGTCTTATGATAAAGTCACTTTCTTTGCAACATGGCCATTATTCCTAGTTTTATTAAAAAGGTATTTCATGCTATGTAAGGAAAACAAACGAATGTCAAGCCTTGTGGTTTTTTCGAATGGGTCATTCCCATCAACCATTTAAAAGAAGTGACTTCAAAGATGTGCAATGATGATGTCCAAGCATGTTGTGTGAGGGAGTTGGAGAAGTTTCTAACTGAGTTGAACGACCAAGTGAAAATACTAGAGAGCAAGTATGATCGAATGTTAATTGGGATTGTGCGCCTCTTAAAAGTTGTTCTTTTAGGTTTCATTCTAATGTTTATGTTTAGGAAGTAAGGTATCATAAGAAAAGAGAGGAAACAATGGGTTTTTTGCATGTTTACATTTTGGGGAGGGCTAATCACTATACATCTGGAATTCTGACTTCTAACTTATGGATGGAACTTAAGACTTTTTTTAGTTATGATGGCAGATAAGTTACTATATTTGTTGTGTATTTTATATAATAATGTGAAGATAAGTTATATCTTGCCATTTCTAAACTTGTACTGATCATATCAAAACCTAGTAGTGGCTAACCAGTATCAATATGTGTTACTAAACAAGTTCCTAGTTTGGATTGTACTATGGCCGTTAACAATATATCATGGTCATTGTTATCTTGGAATTTTAAGTGCAGCCCTTCACGTACTTGAGAAATAAGTGGTGGCCATAATTGGCCCACAATCCTTTAGAGTAGCCCATATGATTTATATGATTGTGAATGGACTCCAAATGCCTCTTGTATCATTTGCTGCCACAGATTCGACTCTTTCTACCATTCAATTCCCTTTCATTGTGCGAACCACACAAAGTGGTTCTTACCAGATGGCTGCCATGGCTGATTTGATTGACTATTATGGATGGCAAGAGGTCATTGCCATTTTTGTAGATGATGATTATGAAAGGAATGGCATATATACTTTAGATTGGGTGATATTCCAACCTATATCGTATGTTCATGAAGATAAACAAAAAAAATGTCCAATTGACCCATAAGTTTTTCCACCATTCCATCATTCTAGCCCAATGAATATCAATGGCTACAACTTCATTCAAATTCAATTACCCTTGTCCAAAATTTGATGAACTCTATATGATGCTTCTTGCACCATTGGAGAAAAACTAATGTCATGGATGCATATAACTCACCATATAAATCTAACAAACATGATGTACTAACAAATTAGTACATCACCCCTAAGGAAGATACTAAAGTATAAAACAAATCAAAGGAACTGAATGACAAGCGGTTTGAATAACTTCCTTATTTAAGAAACTTCAAAAATAAAAACGCATATGCAAACATGTGATCCTATAAACATTAGATGAAAAACAAATCCAACAAGAACGTGTCCAAACTGTAACCATGTGATAGATAACAATGATGTATGGTCATTAACTTTCATGGGTTTTCTGATAATTAACATGGCTTCTTCTATGTTGACAATACTTTAGTTAGTGATCTTGGTGGTTATTTACTGAATGATTCCATCACATTTGCTAGGAAAATAGCTTAGAAGTTAGCAAAGGTTATTTATTATTAAACATTTGTTTATTTACTGTTATCTTCTGTTAAATTATAACCAAGACTATGATTATTTAATGTTAAACATTTGCTTATTTGTTGTTATTTTCTATTAAATTATAGCCAAAACTCTGATTATTTACTGTTAAACACCAAAGTCACAAGAAAACTTTATACTGTAAAACAAAGATTTAAACCTCCGAGTAATCAAAGCTACAAGAAAGCAATTGATAAACCAACTTTTGTAACTAATTGACCTTAAATTCCAAGAACATGATTAATCCAACAAGAAAACTTTATACAAGAAACAAAGATTCAAACCTCTGATTATTTACTGTTAAACATCTGATTTATTTACTGTTATTTTCTATTGAATTATAGTGTAAACCAATTGCAATAGAAATCAAAGTGTAAACACCTGATTATAAAAATATCCATAACTTCTGTTTAGGTTAGATTCCTCATATTCTGAAGTGCAAACATAGAAATAAAGAATACGACTCCTCAACTGTATTACACCTTATCAACTTAACCTAGTTTTAAGGGTTGTGTTTTTGTAATTTCTAAGTAAGATAAACTCTTTGATGGTGTTGCCTCACGAGATGATATCCTTGAAGCACATAGGCTTGCTATGAAAGCGGACCCAGAAAGTGCATTTGGTGGGACAGTGGCCTTCAAGGTACAAGTTGACTGTATTGCTACTCAACATATCATGACTCAATTTCTTATGCACA